GGCAGGGTGAGAGCCGCGGCGTGATTGCTCAGCCGGGGGGGATTGATGGGGAAGCTCCTCTTCTTCCTTTTTCCTTTTTTTCCCCCTTCTTTTTCAAAGCCAAAGCAGCGTCGAGTTTTTTTTAAAGTTGTAGCTTTTGGAGTCATAAAACCATCTGTGCTGGAGGAGACCTCTAAGATCATCCAGTCCAACCATTAACCTGTCACTGCTGGAACCCCTAAACCCTAAACCAGATCCTCCAGTGTCAGATCCAGATGCCTCTTCAACACCTCCAGGGATGGTGACTCCACCACCTCCCTGGGCAATATCCCAGGGCCTCAACACCCTCACAGGGAAAACATTTCTCCTCACATCCGATCTGACTCTGCCCTGACTCAGTACAAGGCCATTCCCTCTACTCCTCTCCCTGCAGCCATGGCAGGACACACAGCCCCCACATCTCTCCAGCCCCTGTCTCCACACAACCTTCTCTTCTCCAAGCTGAACAGCCCCAACTCCCTCAGCCTGTCCTCATAGGGGAGATGCTCCAGTGCTCTTAGCAACTTCATGGATTCCTCTGGACTTGCTCCAAAAGTTCCATGTCCTTCTTACATCCTTCCACATTATTTGAATGGTTTAGAGTGTAAGCTTTGCATAAGGTAGTTACCTGTTTTGTTTTGTTTTCATGCTTGGATTAGAAGGTACATTTTTGAGGGTTTTTTTACTTTTTACTGTTTTCACAGTTTTGGGTTCTATCATTTATGTGTTGAGACTTTAGTGAATGGCCTTTGGTCAGTGTGTTGCAGTTGGTTAGACAATTATCCTATACTGGTTTAAGATCTCAGGATAGAGAATCCAAGTTAGATATACTAGACAACAAATGAAACACTTGGATTAGAAGGTACATTTTTGAGGGTTTTTTTACTTTTTACTGTTTTCACAGTTTTGGGTTCTATCATTTATGTGTTGAGACTTTAGTGAATGGCCTTTGGTCAGTGTGTTGCAGTTGGTTAGACAATTATCCTATACTGGTTTAAGATCTCAGGATAGAGAATCCAAGTTAGATATACTAGACAACAAATGAAACAAGCATTCCCTTTCATTTCCACTCCCTGTATTGACAAGCACAACATCCAGGCAAGGATAAGATTCAATCAGTGACATTCTTCACCACTCACAAATATAAGGTTAAGTATTGTACTTAATAGCCTTACAGCAATACTGCTTGATGCAAGAAGATTAAAATCAAGTTTTCATAGCAGAGCTGTATGTGTGAAATCAACCTTTCCCCAGTTTTCCTGTCCTGGAGAATGTCTCCAGTTTCTCCTCCTCAAATCTCCCTGTTTTCACTGCAACCGTTGGAGAAAGCTGCTTTAACATAAGGTA